ATGTCATATGGTAGTGAGACCACGTAACTTAATCATATTAATGTTATGTGGGCCCTTATGTCACGTAAGTTGTACAAACTCTCTTGTACAAAGAGTTTGTGCAAATATCATTACCCATTCATATATAAGGGTGTCTTTTGAAGAAGAAGTTGAAAATTTTCTCCATGGCTCGCAGTTGTATTTTGAATGTTAGTAACTTTGTGGAATGATTTGTAATAAGATTTTGTTTCACAAGTTATGTGCACGTTTTAAAATCCGGATAGAAGGGTAACCCGTTTTACTATCTGAGTCACAGGTTGGACGGTGACATCATCAATACTTTAATATAATATGTTTAAATAATTATTGTTATGTATCATTGGACCCAAATACTTTCATTGATGATTGAACCCAAACACCAATTTAATAAATTTGAAACCAAGTCCTGTATCTTTCAATATCCATCAATTCATGAAGTCCATAAACATATAAAATACAAATACAATATATAAATAAACGAATTTCTTTATTATAACAAGTCCACCACACAAGGGAGTCAACTTCGAATTAATGAACAAGCCAAACATTTGTGTCTACCATTCTTTCCAGTTCCACCCAACAAAAATTTCACCCACAAGCAGAATCAATGACAACCACACCAGAGTGTAGACCAGCGCCCAAAAATTCACCCAACAAGCAAGCTTTCCATTATTTAATTAATGGACTTATTTCCTTCTCAAAACAAATAAAATAACAAAACTTCCAAGCATTTTTTAGATACAAAACAACTCAGCCAAAACATGCAAAATCCAGAAAAAGGGAGTTGTGCGATTTCCATATCACACTAAACATTTTTTACAGTGGAAATACCTTTACAAAGCTTAAGCGAGGGAGAAAGGCGTCGTTGTCGTCGATTTCTAGTAAGGGAGAGAGGTGTTGCCGTTGTCTAGCAAGGGAGGTGTCATCGGCGTCGATTCCAGCGAGAGAGGTGTTGTCGTCGTCAATTTCCAGCGAGGGAGGGAGACGTCGTCATCGTCAAGCAAGGGAGGTGTCATCGCCGTTGTCGATGTAGATGAGATTGAGACAGTGGTGCAATTTCAAACTTGAGAGAGTGGATGATTGAGATTTGTTTAATTTCTGAGAGTGCTCAGAGTGGCTGCGATTTAGAGAGTGATTGTGTGTGATTGCCTTTGGTGTTTTGCATAGAAAAACTAAAAAGTATAGAGTTAGTGCTTTTTTTTCATTTAAAACAGTTAACCGGTTTACTTGGTGGGCCAATTGGACCAAGGGGGTAGCAATATTTATCCGGTTCAATGGTGGATTAACACGGTTTTTTATATAACTGGATTTTTATGGCTCGACTCAGACATAATACCGGGTCTTGGTTGAACCGACTGGTCTGATTCGGGTTTTAAAATAGTAGTTATGTGCATGAGCTTAAACTCTTAATATCAAGTAAAATCTATACAATTACATTAAATTTATTGTTAAGTTTATTCGTCTAAAGTAATAAACCTAAACGCCAATTCTTTTAATAAGTATTATAAAATATTTTCATAAAGTAATTTATGACGAGTTTTAAATAGTAGTTATGCTTTTCATAAAGTATTTTAAAAATCTCTCTCTCTCTCTATAATATATTATATATATATATATATATTATATATATATTATACTCCAGCGTCCGCCCCGCAAACCAAACATCAAAACACAATTTACTGAGCCGTGACTTTATTAAAATTGAATAATTAATGTAATATTTCTTGATCCAAAATTAGGTGACACATTAATTGGACTGTATATCTAATGAGTAATACTAGCCTATAAATACAAATAGTCAAATTAACCCTTAAAATTATCTTTTCTCTCTTCTCTTTCCTTATTTCAAAAATTAAATTTAACTTTTTATATAATTCTTTGTATACTTTTATAAGGTGAGTATACTCATATATAATGCGTTCTCTTTTAGGACTTCTCTTAGGCCTCTGGTCCTTAACCCTATTCTATGTTCTGGATATAGCCATCAAATTTGATGATAAGACCTTAAGTACTAATTGTCCGGACGTAGATGATTGTAGTGTGCCATGTCAGACACGATTAGTAGGAGAAGGAATTGAGGTAAGTATTTACAAGTTAAAAGCCAATCAGACACGTTTATTAGGAGAGAAGCATTGGGTAAGTAGTCACAAGTTGAAACGAGGGCATTAAATTTCATGTTGTGAAATTTGCAAATTGCAGATGCAGCCAAACAGCCGTATTTTCCTCCTATTTCATGTATCCCAACTCCAAAAAGTCCTACATCAATTCAAAAATCGTCAGGATATATACGAGCTTACAAACATGTAAAAAAATATTATTCCATTTATAAATAGCTCCAATTAGGCTTAAAGTCTGACCCGAAAAAGCTGGGTTACACCACTCAACTGTACAGCTACACTATTCCAGTATCTGAGGGTACCAGATATGTCCCACTTCATCTGGACCTATTCGAAGAACACTTTCTCACTCTACATTTAGAACATATGCTGTTTTACATATACATTGCAACTGTACATGGAGGAATTATATGCGATGTTAATTAAATCTGTTAAATAGGGCAGTCACTAGGCCAGTATGATAAACGGTAAAGTGCACAAGAAATTTAAATGGAAGGCAAGGGAGAGAGCTCATACAGTTCATGCACTAGTGCAATGACACTTAACGAGTGGGATTATTCGTTTGCCTCAACATTATGTTTTCCTCCTTCAGAACGGCCAAAGCCCGGGCCTACCATGTCTGATACAATTCCCATTGTAGACATTTCTTCTTTACAAAATCTGCTCTTTGGTCTCATGCGGTTGATGAATACGAAGGGCTGCAAAGAGATAGGGTCCTTTCAGGTATTGCATTGTAATGTAGTTGCATTTTTGTCATAATGCACTTAGGGAGATATGCAAATTTTAAGAACAACATGTAAATCTTTTTCACATAATAATGTAGAAATGGTTTCTACGAGACAATTATCTTTTATGCTATGTCAAGTGAATCTCCCATCACATGACATGGCATGCTGTCAGTGACTACAAAGAAGACCTAAAAAGAACATAAATGCCAAACTGGAGTTAGGAGGTGACTATTTCTCCACAGTGAAAGCAATCATCTTTACATAAAATACAAAGCCATGCATGCATGATTTATTATTGTCATCATAATTATTGCACAAAGTTTTACGAAGAACTTACACATTTCAGGTGATAAACCATGGAATCCACTTTCTATCATGAAAGATGCCCAGATGCTGCGAAGGAGTTCTTCAACTGCCTATTGAGGAAAGATGCTTCTAGTGTCAGATAATGTTCGAGCCTGTAAGGTATGGCACCAGGGTAAATCACACAAGGGATAAAGTTCATTATTGGAGAGACTTCATCAGCATTACTCCCATCCCATTGCAAAATGGATCCATCTCTGGCCTTCAATGCCAAGTTACAAGTAAGATAACCAGCATTCCCTAGAACTCCTACATTATGAATAGTATTAGTGATGTCATTCTGTATTTCAAAGGAAATAAACAGAGCCACACTTTCTTATGTATTCAAATCATACATCTAATCACATTCATATGTATCAAGTCATTATTCAATTTCCTGTTCCTAGGGAGAAGACGAGGAAACTATGCGAAGGCAGTGCAGTTGCTTCAAAAACATACTTGAAGTTATTTTAGAAACCTTAGGGTTAAACATCAATTACACAAGAGGACATTGAAGAAGGCCTGCAAGTCAGGCAGTAAATTGCTATCCAGCATGTCCTGAACCGATCTGCATTAGGTATGCACACCATTATTCAGACTATGGTTCAATAACCATAGTACTCCAAAGCGGCCCAGGGCTACAACTCATAGACCACAACAAGAATTGGCTATATGTTCCACCAATTGAAGGGGCTTTAATAGTTCAGTTGGGAGATCAAATAGAAGTAATGAGCAAGCCAACACAAAAGCATGTACATGGAGTAACTCTCAGAAAAGAGAAGAAGCGGCTTTCAATAGCAAGTCTTCACAGCCTAGATTTTAACACAAAAATTAGACCAGCACCAGAGCTCCTGAATGAACAGCAACACGGTATCCTACAAAGAGTTCAGTTTCAATGACTTTCTTGATTTTATCTCAAGCAATGACATTGCTGGGGGCAGGTTCGTTGATACACTGAAGATAAATCATGAATAAAGATGCAGTGGGGTTTCAGGAGATATATTATGTTTCCTTTAATAGTATGTAATTCTAATAAATATATTATATGCTTACATATTTTGTACTTCTGGAACCTTCCTAGTACGTGTAGTAGCTTGAGAATAATGCAAAAAGTGAAATAATGTCTCTATCTGTTTGATTCCCCTGCATGACTGCTGACTCTATTTCAATGTGAAAGTAATAGAATATCTAGCACTTCATATTTTATTCAACTGCTTATTCCACTGCCAATTTCATGCTAAAATTTTCTTGTGAATAAAATGAATTAATGTCCATTGCATTTAATGTTAGAAATGATCTCTAGCTCTCTACCTCTGCAAATGCAAGGAAGACATACTTTATTTCCTTTGCTTTTCCCCGTTTTTCCTATGTGGGTATAGTTAAAAAGAGTGATAATATTGATAATGTTTGACCGTCATCATTTCCTCCAAAGGTTGCTTTTGCTGAATAGAGAAATTTGTAAGTCATAGTTTCACATTCTCTTGATCATTTTGTATCCTTGCAAACTGTTACGGATTTAGAAGAACATCGGACTCTTACTACTTTGAGTTGGGTTGAGCATGACAAAATTCGTCTTAGTGAATATGAAATGAATTCTCTTATGTTCTCAGAACAATACCAAAACTGGTATTTCTCTTACTTAGATGGGGAATCGAACCTGAAACTGTATGTCTTTTCACAAAATCCTTGATTCGTCTTCACCATATGGGCTATCAAAACTCAATCCAATTCTTTGTTGGTACATTAAATTTTAGTTCAAGAAAAATAGATAAACCAATCTATTGAGTTTTTAATATATGAATTCAATCAAATTTATTAGAACTAAATATAACGGATACATTTGAACTCAATAGTCTTCATCCGTAGCAAAAACCAGTTATTGATACGGTGAAATAAATACAAATCTACACCTCTCATTCATAAAATTCACCCAATTTCCACAATAAAACAACCGTAAAGAAAAACAATAGCACTGCCTCTCCCCTAGCCCGTAAAGGCAACTCCAACAAGTGAAGCAATCACAAGCATCATATTACACAAAGTGGTAGAAGCTGCACTAGACGATGATGGTGGTGAAGGTACACCAGAGGAAGGGGTGGTGGTGTTGGATGGAGTACCAGCAGTAGGCGGTGAGCCAGTGGCTGGGGTGTTGGGCGTGGTGCCTGATGATGCAGCAACAGTGACGGCCAATTTCATGCCACCAGTACAATGACCGGCAGTTGGGCAGATGAAGTACTTTGTTCCAACGGTTGTTAGGTTTATTCTTGTGTTTCCATCGTCGTGACTGTCAATGGCATTGCTAGATACGCAATTGTCATAATCACTTTTTTTTACCTCATCAACTTCGTGAGTACCGCCGTAATTGAAAACTGTTTTACCAATAACATTAATACATTTTGGGTTTCAATTAATTGAAGACGTATATATAATCAAGAACTGAAAAATGGATTAACAACTTACTTAGAGCATCACCAACTTTGAATGTTTTACCAGAAACCCAAGTTGTGTAATCAAAACCTGATGTCCATCCACTGGTGTCACCAACAGTGTAATCCACTGCATAGACGGCGGGAGTGGCTAGAAGAAGAAAGAGAAAAGCAGTTGCCATGGCCATCGCAATTAAAATCTGCCTGTAACTTAATGAAGAAAACAAAGAAAAGGAGAAAGGAGAAGTAGCACAATGCCTTTTAGCGAGTTAGTTAGTTACATAATATATAGAGAAGAGTATAGGCGTATGTGTATGAGTTGACATAAAAAAAGCCACCTCTCCACCTTCTTAATTCTTATTTGTTTAAAGTTACTCGCTTTCTTTCCGCCATATAACTAATACCATAACAAAGTAGTTGTTATCTGGGTTCATCTTTTCTGTCTGTCCACTACCTAACTCACTAAGAAATTTTTGGCCTTTTTTCTTAGCTGGCTTATAAGCTCTCTGAAGGAGTCGCTCTGTAGAAACCTTGACGGGCGAAGCAAAAGTATGCTCAGTGGGGTCACTTGACCCCACTGAAATTATTAAAAATTGTTATATATATATTTATAGTAATTAACAATTTTGACTTCACAAAAAATTATATTTACCCTACTAAAATTACTCATATTTTATTGGCGATACTTCTATATTTTATTGATTTCGAGATTCGAAAATAACCATATTTTTTTTTCATGTTTTCTCTCTTTCTCAATTCATCTCCTACTTTATTTCTTCTTCCTTTGGTTGGATTAATAAAAAAAATACTACTTTTTTAAAGGTCAAAAGATAAGATGATGCTCTTTTTTATTATTTAATTATTTTGCTTAAAAATCTATTCTTCTATTTTTCTTAATTGATGAAAGATCTAAAATTATGTTATTTTTATCAACTTAAATCTTTTGATTCCACTTACTAGAAATCCTGCTTACGCGCTTGACTCTGAGTGCCTTTTATCTTTAAAAAAGTGTAAAATTATAGCAATGTAAAGTTGCCGAAGCATGCTAGCTATTATTATGAGCCAATTCTATTGAAACATAAGCTTAAGCCGGAGACCATGTGCAAACTTCGAACCAAAGATAAAAGAATTCACCATTTGTTTCATGTCTAATACTTTTCCCCATTTTAAAAAAATAAAATAAAATGATTGCCACATGCCACCTAATAGTGGATAACGAACATCATCATCACGAGGGATTAGGTTAGCACGATCCCGCATTATTTTCTCAATCCACGTATTAAAAATTGTAGTAGTTAATATCAAGAAAATTGTTATCATCTATATATTTAGACTATCAATTCAAAAAGGGGATTTGGTAATGAGTTGTTAAAAGCATGCATTATTAAAATTCATAACACATGATTTATATTATAGTTTTTGGGTCCATATAATGCGAATCGCAAACTAATCGTTTTGATTTTTTAAATTCCACCTTACCTAACTTACTAAACTGTAAGACAATAAACTAGTCAAAAGAATTGCCCACCTTTGTAGAATCTTAATTGATTCGTTTTGGTTTTGATTAATTATATCCAAAGCTATATATCAAAGATTCCTGCCTTTCAAGAAAATCTATTTTTTAGTCAATTACGCCGCCCCTGTAGAATCATAGTGCACCTAATTTACTTGATGAGGCCTGACTTATGCCACACCAGAATATCTTTTTTTTTTTTTAAATGTAAAATATAAAATTTGTAAGCGGTGTCTCATTATCTTTGAATACTAAATAGGCCCACATGAAATATAGGGTTTTCTATTGCGTTTAGAAATTTATATAGGGTAATCCTATTTGTACAAAGTTTTTGTACAAACTTATGTGACACATTACAAAACATGTCATATGGTATTGAAACCCACGTAACTTAATATTATATTAATGTTTTGTGAGCCCTCATGTCACGTGACACTCACATGGTATGCCACATAAGTTTGTATAAACTCTCTTTGTACAAAGAGTTTGTGCAAATGACATTACCTATTTATATATAAGGGGTGTCTTTTGAAGAAGAAGTTGAAAAATGTCTCCATGGCTCACAGTTATATTTTGAATGTTAGTAACTTTGTTGGAATGATTTGTAATAAGATTTTGTTTCACAAGTTATGTGCACTGTTTTAAAATCTGGATCGGAGGGCAACCCGTTTTACTGTCCAGGTCACAAGTCAATCGGTCCAACCGGTTGGACCGATGATATCATCGACATCATCATATCCTTTAATATACTATATTTAAATAATTATTGTTATGTTTATCATTGGACCAATTACTTACATTGAACCCAATTACTTCCATTGATGATTGAACCCAAACACCAATTTAATTCAATCCGAAACCCAAGTCCTGTGTCTTTCAATATCCATCAATTCACGGAGTCCATAAACATATAAAATACAAATACAGTACAAAAATAAAAGAACTTTCTTTATTATAACAATTCCACCAATAAAGGGAGTCAACTTCAGAATTAATGAACAAGCCAAACATTTGTGTCTCACCCATTCTTTCCAGTTCTACCCAACAAAAATTTCGCCCACAAGCAGAATTAATGACAGCCACACCAGAGTGTAGACCAACGCCCAAAAATTTCACCCAACAAGCAAGCTTTCCATTATTTAATTAATCAACTCTTATTTCCCTTCTCAAAACAAATACAACTAATAAAACTCCGAAGCTTTTTTGAGATAACAAAACTCAACTCAGCGGAAACATGTAAAATCCAGAAAAAGGGAGATGACGTCGATTTCCAGACCACACTAAGCCTTTTTTATAGTGGGCGTCGTTGTCGCCGATTTCGAGGAAGGGAGGCATCGTCGTCATCGATTTCTGGTGAGGGAGAGAGGCGTTGTCATCGTCTAGCAAGGGAGGTGTCATCATCCTTGATTTCTAGTGAGGGAGGTGCTGTCGTTGTCGATTTCCAGCGAGGGAGAGAGACGTCGTCGTCGTTGAGCAAGGGAGGTGTTGTCGTCGTCGATTGAGATTGAGATTGAGACAGTGGTTGCGATTTCAAATTTGAGAGAGTGGAATTGATTGAGATTGGGTTGTGATTTAGGGTTTTGAGAGTGCGCAGAGTGGCTGTGTGTGATTGCCTTTGGTGTTTTGCATAGAAAAACTTAAAAAGTATAGAGTTAGGGTTAGGGTTTTTTTATTTTTCATTTGAAACAGTGAACCGGTTTACTTGGTGGGCCGATTGGACCGGGGGTGGCACTGTTCATTCGGTTCAATGACGGGTTAACATAGTTTTTTTTTTTTTTTTTTTTATTATAATCAAATTTTATATTGGCTCGGATCGGACATAATACCGGGTCTCGGTCGGACCGGACACAATACCGGGTCTCGGTCAAACCGATTGAATCGGTCAGTCCGGTTCGGGTTTTAAAATAGTGGTTAAGTGCACGAGCTTTAAACTCTTAATATCAAGTAAAATCTTAATACATTTACATTAAATCTATTCTTAAGTTTATTGTCTAAAGATAATTAAATCTAAACGCCCAATGCTTTTCATAAAGTATTTTAAAAATCCTTTATATACGAGAGTATAATATATATATATTGAGAGAGAGAGAGAGATTTTTAAGAGTTTTGAAAAATTTTAGGTATTTAACTATTTTTTAAAAAGAGCATTTGCCCATTTAGCATTCCCTCAAGGATGACTAAAATTAATCCTTAATATGTTGTCACCTTTCTTTTACTTCAACATTGCCTACTTGTTTAACAGGTAAAATGGGCGGTGTAGTAAACAATCTCGGTGCATTTAGCAGTACTAATTGAAAGATGAAGGAAACCTACACGAATACCATGTGGTTGAGCACTCAAAATCCGGGTCCAATTAGTAACACAGTCCAAATACGCCTGTAATATTAGTGTTGTCATGTTGTGGATTCCTATAGCCAATCTTGGAACAGAAATACTATACTTACTCACGAGTTTTACTAACACCGACAAAATTATACATAGTATCCGTACTATACATATGATACCCGTATTATGCGTTTTATAGTAAAATGGTTAATAAGATGGTGACGTACTATGCGTATGGTACCCATACTATGCGTTATATTTACGAAAGATAGTAAAATAGTTAATAAGATGGTGAGTAAGCATAACATAACTCATCTTGGAATCAGATTTTTAAATCAAGGTCAAAGATAACGTGAGCAGTTTGCGTTGCCGAAAACCCCATCACTAGTTTTGTTTATTTCAACGGTGGCGACCTCTTGCTCTTAGAACCCAATTGAACCTACTTCCAATTCAGAATCAAAAGTGTCTACTGTCATCGAACACTGCTCCAGCATCAGCCCTGCAAAGTGCAAACCAAACATCAAAGCACAATTTACTGACGCCATGACTTTATTAAAATATTGAATAATTAATGTAATATTTTATTTGATCCAAAATTAGGATGACACATTAATTGCACTATATATCTAATACGTTCTCTTTTAGCACCCTTCTCTTAGGCCTCTGGTCCTTAATCCTATTCTATATTAGCTAAGATATAGCCATCAAATTTGATGATAACAACATAAGTGTATTAATTTTTGTCCGGAGGTAGATGATTATAGTATGCCCATCTCAGACACGTTTATTAGTAAGAGAAGCAATTGGGGTAAGTAGTCACAAGTTTGAAACAGAGGGCATTAAATTTCATGTTGTGCAATTTTGCAAATTCCAGATGCAGCCAAACAGCCGTATTTTCCTCCCTATTTCATGTATCCCAACTCCAAAAAGTCCTACATCAATTCAAAAATCGTCAGGATATATACGAGCTTCCAAAACATGTAAAAAAATATTTTATTCCTATATATCAAATAGCTCCAATTATGCTTAAAGTCTGACCCGAAAAAGCTGGGTTACACCACTCAACTGTACAGCTACACTATTCCAGTACAAATTCAAGTTCTAGTATCTGAGGGTTACCAGATATGCCCCCACTTCATCTGGACCTACTCGAAGCACACTTTCTCACTCTCACATTTATGAACATATGCTGTTTTACATATACATTGCAACTGTACATGGAGGAAATTATATGCATCTATGCGATGTTAATTTAAATCTGTTATAAATAGGGTAAGTCACTAGGCCAGTATGATCATACAGTAAAGGACACAAGAAATTTAAAATGGAAGGCAAGGGAGAGAGCTCATACAGTTCATGAACTAGTGCAATGATACTTAACGAGCTGGGATTATCTCGTTTGCCTCAACATTATGTTCTTCCTCCTTCAGAACGGCCAGAGCCCAGGCCTACCA